TTTTCTCTCTGATGCAAATCCGCCTGCGCTAGAACCGGCCGTGGCTCGGCTGAGTCTCGCCCGTAAGCGCCTGTTCGTCGTCAACGGGACCCTGAAACTCGTCCAGACTCGTCTTGAGCGCATCCAGGCGCTGGCAATGGGTCTCTCGCCATCTGACACCCCGGCTTGAGCCCCATCGTCGACTGCCACCTGCGATGGACGACAACGTCAGCGGCCATGGCCATCCACCGCGCACTAGGCTTTTGCATCGCTGCCTTGCGATTGTGGAGACCAGAGAGCGGCCCACGGTCGTCACTCGGAAGGTATCAAGGCGATCGGCTCAGGGCCGTCACCATTTCGGATCCTGAATACACCTTCGGTCACCGGAGACGACCACGCCCGGAACACATGGCGAGCAACTCGCTTGACCACACCATCTCGACATGGCGCTGCCCTGAGGGTCGAATGCATGCACTACACTGCGAAGTGCAACATCAATGTCTCGCGAAACATGATGTCGGTTTGCCGGTCGATCGTCGCCACAGGAGATCGGCCGGGGTGTATTCAATATTATGCTTCCCAATGTGATCGCGCGCTGGCCATGACCATTCGCCACACATCCGACTTTCGCACCGCCGCATTGCGATGCTACGCCCTCATCCATAGCCTGCGTAAGGTCGCCTCCATATTCAGTGTATCCAAGAGCACCATCCATCGATGGCACCGAGGATGCAAGCTGGATGACCCATCCCGGGTCCCAGCTCGCAGATCCACTTTCTTCGAGCAGGCATGTCCAGTCATCCGCACCCTGATTGAACAGGACCCGTTCCAGACTGGTCCTGTGTTGCGATGCAAGCTCGAGTCCATCCTCCAGAGGAAAGTATCACTCTCACTCTGCCACACTGCCATCCACCGAGCAGGTCTCTCACACAAGAGGGCAACACACCTCTACAAGTCCAAGCGACTGGATGAGCGAGTGGCACAGTTCAGGGACCAGGTCCGCTCCATCGACCCACGACGGCGTTTTTGTCGACGAGACGGGATCAGGATCCATTTTCCCTCTCTACGGATACTCACCGAAGGGTGCTCCGCTTCGCCAGCGCAATCACATGAAGCACAAGTATCTGTCTCGGTGGCATTTGCCATCACCACTCTGGTGTGCTGCATCGCATGTACTAGGGCTATGCATCCGCCCTCGGAGGCAGCGGTTTTTGCTCAGTACTTTGAGCAATTCGAGCACCACCGACGCCGTCCCAATCACCATCATGGAAGCGTCAAGGTAGTCTCGACGAACGAGTTCAACACCTCGCAAGTGTGCTCCAAGTGCCTGGAGCCAGTTCGGTGGAAGGACTCGATGCGCCCAGTGTTTGCGAATTCCCACTTTGTCAGGAGCTGCAAGAATCCCAGCTGCCGGACGTGTGGAATCGCGACGTCAATTGCAGGCGCGCAACATGATCACAGTATGCAGGTCGATTGTGGAGACCGGAGAGCGACCGGCGGTCTTCACTCGGAGGCTGCCAAAGTGATCTGTTTTATTTCTTGTGGCTTTGCGTGAACGCAAGCACAGCACATACTACATGTTCATGGAACGGCTATATTGTCCCGTTTTTTCTGAATAAAGTGTATGCTTCCCAAACCATCAGCAACGCGATTAACACCAGGACGGGAAACAATCTCACGGCTTGCTCACTGGGGCCTACCCATCACCGAGCTCATGCAGTGGCTGGATGTGAAGGGAGCACGGATGGGCGCTATGCCGTTTTCGTCCTGAATATGCTATAGCATTAGACGATCCTCATCGTCAACAGACGCGATGACATGCCGCGATGAGATTTGGTCAGGACGGCTCAGCTCGCCCAGGGAACTGTACGAGCCCGCTCGGTCACCGAGTTTTGGAGGAAGCGCGGCATAGTCCTCGGGAGGGAGTGTGCAGATGAGAGGGAAGACGCCCTTGCTTGCCGGTGTTGGGGATGAGGCCCATGGCCCAGCCATCATCGTAGGAGCGGATCACGATTACATTCCTGATCGACACTCAGAGCCAGCTCGTCGCTGATGCTGGGGACATATGGGTGAACCACCTTCACCACAGTCGGCTCGGGATGCTGTGGCGAATCGCGACCTGGGCCGATCCGGACCGGAGGTGGAGCTGTGTAAGGTTTAGCAGCAGGCGGGGGAAGCTCTCGTGCGACCGCTGCTGGACGGGCCCGGGCAGCTTGATGATTGGGGCGGCGGCTCGGTCGATACCGCTGTTGGGGCAGCTTGAGTTGGAGACCGGGTCCTTGGGGCGGCGGGCCTGGTGATCCGGAATCCGTAGCTTGCGGGGCTGGGGACCTCATCTTTGGGGGGAGCGGCGGGGGTGGAGGAGTAGGCGTGTACTCTCGGGTGGGTCGAACATACGGGGACTGCTTTCCAGAAGCAGGAGAGGAATTATGCATAGAGGCAGTTGGAAGGGGAGATCGAAGCGAGTCATTGAGGCCATTGGTGGCCATTCGATTTCGGAATAGTCGACCTCTTGGAGAGGAATACGTGCCGCTGGCTTCCATGTCTTGCTTGTGTCGTTGATCTTGCAAGTACTGCTGTATGTTAGGCTCTCGGTGGATGTTGCACATACATCGGGTCTCGGGAGGCTCGGCGACCGTTTCTGGACCAAGAACCCGACAATGACTCCGAGCAATACGAGGGCGCCGACAATGACCCCGCAGATTAAACCAATGTTGCTTGGGTTCCGTTGGGGACTGAGGGCGATGGTGTGGTTGGTGCCGATGTGGTGACCGCCGGTGCCGTTTGTCGGATGGCCTGAAACTCGGGAAGCACAGCAGGGGGTCATTCGGTAGCGAGCTACATCCGTTGGCCATGTCCGTGGCATCGAGGAAGCCTGGAGAAACAACCGAGGTGGTCAGTTTGGCAAAACTGGTCAAGACCACTGCCATCGTGCCTGGCCGTGCTCGGCCGTGCTCGCGCCGGAGGTGGTGGGATCACCAAGCGAGCGCACTCCAGCTCAATATGCAGATATGCATCGACGCACATGGACATGTGCATGGACACACACGGACATGTCCGCTGGCATTGCCCGCACACACCTGCATCCTTGACGATCGAGCTGCTTGTGCAGCCAACTCACCACAGAACTGGACGTCTTGGTCCACGCCTGCATAGCACGGCCCGCCATTCGGCGTCGCCAGGTCCGCCGGGGCCGTCGTCGAGCAGTACGTCTGGAAGGTGCCCAGGGTCGTGGTCCGGCCCTGCGACTGCGTCGTGTTGGAGGTGGCAGGACAAGTGGTCGGGTCGTTGAGGAGCGACTGGACGCTCGCAGTGGCAATCTGGCACTGGGCCGTGCACAGGGCCGGGCCGTGGACGGGGCTGCCGGCCGGAGGCGGGCACGAGCAGCTGCTCTGCATGATGTTGTCGCGGATGATGACGCTGCAACCAGAACGAGAGCTGGTAGCGGAAGTTTTGGGAGATGAAGGACGAGGCCGAGGCCGAGCAGCCCTTGTTGGAGATGAAGTTGTCGGCGACGACGCTGATGGTTTCGTAGCGCTGGATCATGACCTGGTTGAAGGTGTCGGTGTTGACGCCCGTGGCCGGGAACTCGTCAAAGTAGAGACTGTTGATGCCATAGCCGACAAAGCTAGAGCCGCAGATGTTGTTGGCGGCGAGCGGGAAGCAGGCGCCCGGGGTCTGGCAGAAGGCATCGGCGGCAACGGCGAAGAGCGCGGCTGCAATTGCATATCTAAGGAAGTAGTGAGCGACAGCCATTGAGCCGATTGGTGCTGGGAAGGGAAGGGAGGAACAAAAATGGGAAAGGATGGATGGAATCTCGGAGTCGAGCCCGGAGCGCAGATGTTCGGAGCAGACCAGCTCTGGGTCTTTTGGCGCGGAACAGTGGTGAGGGGCCCGAGTGAGAGCGCCGAGCCAGTGGGCACCGACGCAGACGAAGCAGGGGCGACAGAGGCAGCGATGGAGAGGGCCAAGGCTCGTCAAGCCCGAGGAAGCAGCGCCGACCAAGAGCAAGAGAGTTGGGTTCGTGCAAGAAAGGGGCAAGGCCGGCTGGGTTGCAGGCGCGTCCTGGGGTCAGCCGGCCTCGGCGACACAGTCAAAAGCACTGTGCGACAAGGACCCGTGCATGGCCACAAGCCGGGAGAGGGCGGCACGCGCCTTCACGCGCTCGGGGATGCACAGCCACAGCGGGCTGGGAGAGAATGTTGCAGCGGGTCGGGCGGGGCACTGGGGAGAACTGCAGTCCAGGGCATGCAATGCGATGATGCGATGCGATGCGATGTGGTGCGATGCGATATGATTCGAGAGGATGAGAAACAGCGCAGACCAGCCCGCACGACAGTGACGGTGCTGGCAGGGGCTCGGGCTGCTTGGCGAGGCTTCGGCAGCCTTTCCGCTTTTCCTTGCTCTGTCGAGCGGTGTAACCACACGTCCAAGTCGGGACAGAAGCACCGAGCATCCCTGGTGATACGATCTGGCTGCGGGGAGGGGCGTGCAGGGCCGCGACTGCATCGGCTGGTTCATCTCGGGACACACTGTTCCAGGAGCGTGGATCGCATCCTGGGGTTGGCCAAATGGTTGTGGTAAGGATGCACCGGCTCTGGGCAACGAAACAAAATCGGTCAATGCTCAAAAAACCGGGGTGCCCCCGTTGTTTATTGGAGCCGCACTAAAACGGTGACAAGCCAAAGACAGACATACAAGCATACAGGGATAGAGGACACGACCAGAGTAGTTGGGGGGGGGAATGAGTGAATATTGACAACAGATGTCAGACCACAGATAGGGACACGTTACGGGACGAGGATGGAAGAAGAAAGAAGGTCGGCGACTCAGTTACGGCCATCCAAGTTTTGCGCGCGGGGCCGACGACAAAAGGCCGGGTTAGACTCAGAGTCCCGTATGTCGTGGGTGTCAGCCTTCCGACACCACCGAACAGGCAGACGGGTGTTTGCTGCACCCCATCGCTGCACAGGCCGAGTGGCACAAGTTAAAGCCTGAGGGTCTACTCATCAAACGGCGTTGCGAATGGGCTCTGGGCTTTACCTTCGCCGTTGGCATTGATCATCGTCGAGCGCTGCTGGACAACCATCTTGGCGACTGCCTCAATGTCCTCGGCCGAGATGATCTGAGACGACATACGCTTGTTGAACTGGATGTCGCTCGAGGTGGCGGTCGAGAACCGCTGGCCACCGTTGGCGAGCTCAAAGGCGACCACATCTTCAGGCCGGGCCACGCAGACGAGGGGGAAAGCGCCCTGCTTGCCAGTGGTGGGCACCAGTCCGAGAGCCCAGCCATCATCAAAGGATCGAATCACAATCACATCATGGCCGACTTCGAGCTCGAGCTCGTCGGCGAGAGTGGGAGCATAGGGGTGCACGACTCGCATGACATTCTGGGCAGCAGTGGCCCCAGGAATCGCTTGAGAGAGCTCGATGGAGGCAGCGGCAGCCCCGGGTGCAGCTTTAGAGGCCGGAGGAGCCTGGGCAACAGCAGCAGCGCCCACGGATGTGAGTACAGAGAGGCTGTCTGGTTGCTGGGAACGAGAAGAGAGAGCCGACTTGAGGGGTGCACTCTGGGAATGCTGCTGGGTGGCAGGCGGAGCTTGCTGGCTGGGGGTCTTGGCAGCCATGGCGCTGGGCACTGGGTATGCCTTCTGGCGCTCAGGAGGGGTGGAGACGAATTGGTTTTCATTGGGGGCATAGCTCAGATGGTTGACGGCCTTGTTGGCTTGGGCGGGAGGTTGCTGCTCCATATGAGGCTGTGCTTGGGGAGGCGGGACATCTCGGCGCTGGGCGTACATTGGAATGTTGTTGTTCGAGTTGCCAGTGGAGGCATAGGTCTGATGCTGAGTGTAGTCGGTCTGGTAGTTGTAGGCCTTTTGCAGACGCCGGCGGCGGACGATCCAGACGGCCACCACGATGCCGACAAGGGCAAGGACGCCGAGGATGGAGCCGACGATGATGCCGATGGGGCTGCCTCCGGAAGTGTTGCCGTTGTTTGTGTTGTTGTTGCCGTTGAGGGCCATACAGCAGGGATCGTTGGGGATGAGCTGGCAGCCAGCAATTCGGCTGGATTGATCTCTGAAGCCACAATCGCTGTTGCTGACCTCGAGAGGGGCGCCGGCATAGCACTGCACGGAAGGGTTGGATGTCTGGAGGGTGAGGGCGTTGTTGCAGTACTCGATGACGTTGTTGATGCTCTGGTTGCGGGACTGCATCGCCGAGCTGCTGGTGGTGGCTGGGCAGACACTGACATCGTTGTAGACGGTGGTCAGAGTGGTGTAGGCAAACTTGCACTGGTCCGGACAGAGGAATGGCGGGGGGGATTTCGTCTGGGGACAGGCGTTCGAGCCGTTGTAAGAAAGATAGGCAACTCGGCCACAGAAGGACGAGAGCTGGTATCTCAGCTGGTTCGAGATGGACTGGGAGACGGCAGGCAGACACGCTCTCGTGCCGACGAAGCTGGTGGTGACGTTCTGGACGCTGACAACGAGGGCCGAGACGTAGGTGTTGAAGTCGGCGCTGTTGGCGTACTGATCGGTGCTGTAGAACTGGTACCCGTTGAAGTCGGGGCCACAGATGGAGTTGGAGTCCAAGACGAAGCACATCTTGGGCAGGACGCAGCGACTTGGGAGACGGGAGTAAAGACCGCGAGGGGGCGAGAATACACCAGGCCCGTCGGAATGGGGAGGCAAGTGAGCCCGGAAGGATGGGAGCCGCGGGAGAGAAAGCAGGAGAGTGGCCGTTGGCTGCCGGTGCGGGGTAATGAGGCAGCAGGAGGCTGGGGACTGAAAGGGCAAGGGGAGGAGGCTTGTGTGTGGGAAGAAGGGCTGGGTGGGTTGGGGGCCAAGGCAACAAGGCGCTGTTTGGGGCCACGCAGCGAGGCGCGTGCTGTGTTGTATTGTCGAGTGCTGTGTGGTGTGGAGTATTGTGCTGTGCGCGCTGCATGTTGTATTGCGCTCCGCTGTGTGGTGTGTTGTCAAGCGCTGCTTCGGGCTGCCCGCGCTGTTTGAGGTCCAGCGCGTCCTCGCGTTTTCTGCAGCCTTGTCCCACAGGGCACGCGCGCTTGGCGCACAGGGACAGCCGCGCCGCGCGTCGATCAAATGAACGGAGATGCAGCAGACCCTGTGGGCCGCGCGATGCCCTGTGCGACCTCCGTACCGGATATGGAAAGTGATGCTGCGACCGGCTGTTTGCAATGCCTGGCTGCATCCAGCATCCAGCATCCAGCACGCAGGATTCAGCATCCAGGATTCAGCATCCAGGATTCAGCAGCACCCAGGCATGCCGCACGGTCGAACATGGTCTTTTCCTCCAGCCCCACACAGCATCGCCCTCTCGTTTCCTGGCCACTCTCCTGAAGCTTTCCTTTCGCTGCCCTTGTGGCGTTGCCTTCGTGGTCTTTCCATGCTTGTGCGGGCCACGGCTGGCGGTCACGATGGCACCGTGCTTCCAGCCGCCCGCTCTCCGACATGATCGCGCTTGGGCGGCTGGCATTCCATCCTGGGCAATGTGCGAGCAGACCGATCGACAGCAGATCCGGCGCTGCGGTTTCCGTTGGGCCCATCGACCACCAACGGGCGCGCGGGTCGTGGGTGTTGGAGAAAGGACCCGAGCAGCGAGTCGGCTTGCAGCTCGGATGGAGGATTGCATTTTGAGTGTCCGATTGGAGATCACGAATCGGGAGACCCCCGACACACCATCCACATCCACATCCACATCCACATCCACATCCACATCCACATCCACATCCACATCCACATCCACATCCACATCCACATCCACATCCACATCCACATCCACATCCACATCCACATCCACATCCACATCCACATCCACATCCACACCCTCACTGCAGCAGTCGGGATACGTTGTCCGTCCCCCCCCCTCATGGTGTGCGTCGTTCCCCCACCAGACCCCCTGTGCGTCGTCCACCTATCCATCGGCCACCACCACCCCTCCTCGCCGGCTCCTCCACACCACCCGCTTACGGCAGCAAATGTGCTTCTCGAGTCTCATCCTTGAAGGTGGCTCCTTTCGCCGCTCATCCCCCGCCCACCACCAGACACTGCTGGCCGTTCCACAGTGTCCCTCCCAAATTTGCTCTCTTTGCGTTTTTGCCCGTCCTCTCCGCCCCCCTCAACCGACACCTGGCCTCCCCATCTGGCCCTTCTCCTGCTGCTTGCTCGGCACGTTGGGTCTCGCCTCCCGCTTCCCCTCGCCCTTCGTCTTGACTTCCAACCCTCCCTCGCTCACCGTCTTTGCCACTTTGACCCGACTCTTCTACCAACGTAGAGCGCCTTCGCTGTTGTCGCTGCCATGTCTGTCCAGCCTGGCCCCCTGGGCCTGCCTCAAACCACTTCGCTCTACAAACAATCTGTTGCCACCATCGAGCAACTCTACGCCTTTGCCCCTTTACAGCCACTCCTGTTCCCTGCGGGCCTGGCACAGACCTTTGGGGACGGCACCTTGAACATTGTCAATCCCATCCACATCCTCTGGCCGTTCCTGCGCTTCGGCAGTCCGCTGTGCATCCTCGCCAACTATTTTCCCGAAGTCCAGCCCAAGATAGTCGTTCCTCCCCTCGCCGAGCTCGGAAGCCAGAATGCATGCAAGAAAATGGTCTACGCTTTTCTGGTCGCATGCATCACCCTTGGCTTGAGCGATGGTGATCTCTTCGCCGTCTCGGATATATTCAAGGACGACACCAATGTTCTTGTTAAGGTTCGTCATCATAGTTGGGTAGATTGCCAGCCGCTGATCTGGGCAGCCGTGGTTTGCTGCCAGCAAATCCTCTGATCAGCAGCCTTTGCAAGCTGTTATTCTGCTCCCCGTCCGCTCCCCCAACCGCAAGCTTCGACTCTCCTGATCCGGGCAACTCCATGCCTATTGCTTGCTCGCCATGTGAACTCGCCGCCATTGCACACCGGTCGCATCAGTGTTGATACCTTACATTCATTCCATCCGATTCAGATTCTCCGGACAGTCGATATCCTATTGTCTATGCTCAAGAATCGAGGCTTGCTGCCTCCACCCTGTCCGCTGCCGTTTCAATCCTTGGATGCCGATTTATCTGACAACCGCTCTAAAATCATCTACGAGATTCTGCAGACCGAGCGGGTCTATATCGCGCAGCTCGAGACCCTGGTCGGCTACCGCGAGAGCCTATTGTCAAAGAACGTCATCTCCAAAGACACGGCTCACATCCTCTTTGGCAACCTGATTGATCTCTTGGATTTCCAGCGGCGCATCCTAATGTGGATGGAGACAACGATCGCGCTCGGTGACGAGCATCGTATCGGTCTTGTGTTCATCCAAAATGCGGGACACTTTTCTCAATTCTATGGCACCTACTGCTCAAACTTTGACTTTGCCTCAAATACCCTCATGGAGGAAATACCAGCGCTCTCCAAGCTGCCCCACGAAACATTTACGTCCCTTCAAGATATCCAGTCCTACTTGATCAAGCCTATCCAGCGCATATGCCGCTATCCGCTCCTGCTCAAGGAGCTGTACAAGCTCTCCGAGAGCAGCTCCTATTTGTATCTCTCTGAGTTGAATGAGGGCTATGAATCCGTCACAAAGGTTGCCGAGGAAGTGAACGAGATCAAGCGTCAACAAGAGCTTCAGCACATCAAGACAGAGTTGGTTGAGCTCGTCGACGACTGGAAGGTAGGCACGATTGTCTTGACAGCGCGCCCTTTCTTGCCATGTTTTGACAGCGCATCCTTTCTTGTCATCCGAGCACCTCTAAAAAGCACCCTTCTCATGAGAGCGCATTCAAATTTGATTATCGCTTTCAGGGATTGCAACTCAGCGACTTGGGCGAGCTTCTGCTCCATAATCGAATCTTTATCGAGGGAGTCGATGAAACAGCCAGTCTGTATCTCTTCCACAATGCCCTTCTGGGATTCCGTGATAACCCTGGGCGCAAAATTCGAGTCGGTCAGCGCGAGGAAGCGGCCTTGGTTTTGGTCGGCCTCGTGTACATCAGCTGTATCCAAGTGGTCCAGGATGTTTCTCGGAGTGATGCAAGCAGGATCAAAGTGTTTTGGAGAGACGAGCGGGACAGCGAAATGTTTGTTCTCAAGCTTCGCTCCCAGGAGCAGTACCGCCAGTGGAAGGAGCAGTTGGAGCAGCTGCTCGAGCGCTTCCGCAATGGTAGTGCACGGGATTCTGGCTACTCGGCATCAACAACACCAACTGCCCGCCCGAGCAGTTCCTCAAGCGGCGATCGACTTCGCCCTTCGAGCGGTGATCCCCTGGCACCTTCAAACACGAGCTGGGATCGACAGACAAACGGCACGACACAGCCCGAAGCCTCATATTTATCGCCAGTACTTGGTCGTGCCAGCTCAATGCGGGCTCAAGGGACCCCACGGCCATCGGCGGCAGTTCCGATTGCGATACAGGCACCTTCCTCTCCGACCGTCTCGTCTTCAACTTCCTTCGAGGGCATCAATTTAGCGCGACAAGGCTCTCGTTCGGCAAGACCGATATCCCGACGGCCTTCGACAAAGGGGGGCGGTGATTATTTCTCTGGCTTGATCGGCTCACCGCCCGGTGCCGATTTTTCAGCGCTCGGTATCAGTTCATCCCCTCCCGTGCGACGCCAGAGCATCAAAGCCCCTGCCCGACAAGTCCTTGTTTCGACATCGATCTTGAACACGGTTGATGAAAATCCCGCCAGTCGGCGAATGAGGAGCCCGCAAATACCCAATGGCCTAACCAACCTAACGAACTCGCTTAATGGCGGGGTAGCGCACGGTGGGGAAGCTATCCGCCAAATGCTTGCTCAGAATCCTGTAGTTGGTGAGGCGATGGAAACCGCTTCAAGAGCCTCAAAGCATCAGTCGATATCTAAACTCCAGCAGCAGCAACTTCAGCTCGAGCTACTCCAATCGGAGCTTGCTATTGAAACAGCAAGCGAGCCTTAATATCCCCAGACGATAGTAACAATACGGCTCGTAATTGAAGACAACGGATTTCGTGAGTCGATATGAACAGCCAAGCCGCCGCGTCGTGTTGACAGCGCCAAGGAAATATGGATCAAATGTCCATCGAGAGTAATCAATAAAGCCGAGACCATCAGATACCAGGTGTCCACTCTATCCAGAAAAAAGGAAACCACAGCCGCTTCCGTGAACATGTACCATGTGATGAGGTTCCGTCAAGCTTAGTCATATGAAGGGCGACGTGGGTGGCGACGGTGGGGTTTGAATTGCTCAAAGTACCGAGCAAAGCGCTGCCTCCGAGGGCTGGATGCATAGCCCTTGCCCTGTCGCCATGACGCATTGCCAAAGGCGATCACCACATCGGTCCGTATCGGGGAGTGCTTCAGGACGGCCTTGCACATCCTGTCAACCGCCACTTGGCGCCTCTTGTGGCCTGTGAAGCGATGGTGACGGGCCTTCTTGCCAAGGTGGAAGTCGATATGCACCCGAAGCTTCTTGAGCCAAGGCCTATGGTGCGCGACGCTTTACAGCGTTTCCAAAACGAAATGGGACACCCCGTTTTGAGCCATCATAGTGGGTTTTTCTGGGACCTGAATACACCCACCCACTCATTGCGATCATGGCCAAACACAGCACCCTCGATTTCCGCATTGCTGCACTGCGATGCTACTCGCTGTTCCGCAGCTTGCGCAAGGTCGCCACCATCTTCAGTCTGTCCAAGAGCACCATGCACCGCTGGCAATCCGAGACCAGTGTGCAGGTCGACTGTGGAGACCGGAGAGCGACCGGTGGTCTTCACTCGGAGGCTGCCAAAGTAATCTATTACATTTCTTATGACATAGTTAGACGCATTCCATCGCATACAACGCTGACGAATGGGTTGTGGGCAGGTGTCCCATTTCCCCTGAGTAAAGTGTAACATTGACAGTTTGTGCCCTTGGCCCATCTCCAATAATTTCTTCAATTTTTCTCATGCGAACCTCAAACTCCGTGAATCTGTCGGAAATTGGTCTCGCTATTTGCTCACGGAGTTTGGTTGGGTTAAATTCATTTTTGTTTGAGTTATATCAACTCAAAACGGCCAAGGCAACCCAGAGGAGGGCTGAGCTTGCGAATCTTGCTCGCCTCGCACGTGTTGCCAGCAGCCCGGACTGCCCTGGGACAACTGCCAACCCCGGCCCAGACGATAGGGTTGCTGACGACCCAGATTCTCTCCACCCCGACTCGACCGATGTGGCCGGCGTATTGAGCACCCAGGCGACTCACTCGCTGCCCGAGGGTCAGCATCTGGCTATATCCCAACAGCCATTCCCATGTGCTTCTCACCCACAAGCCCTTTGCGAACCTCCTCAGACAGTAGCACCCGTCGCTCAGGTCCCATTCGACCCAGTTCTCCCCTCCTCGATGAGCCTTACTCCTCCAAAAATCAAGAAGCGAGCTTACATCGGTGATTCCGAGCGCAACAAGCGACGCAAGCGTGCTGAGAGTCGCGAGGCAATGGCGTCGCATGCCTCACCTGGAATCAAGAGCTACTTCCCAGTCATCCCCAAGACCAACTCGACTGCGAGCTCCGCTGCCCAACACGCTGTCGATATCCCGGCTGGCCATGTATCTGATGTTGATCTTTTCGCAAGAAACAGCATGGAGCGAGCTGTATTGAGGCTCTGAGGGATTCTTCGTGAGTCACGCACTGACAGAGTCCAAAGAGAAACCCTGACAAGGTTCAATGCCCGCCGTTACGAGGCTGTTCTCCTCTATCTCCAGAAAAAGTTGGATGGTGAATCCTTGAGCGACTCAAAGTTTTGCCAACAACTTGCCAAAACCGTGCTTATGAAACGCAGCTTGAGACACTTCAGTGTCTTGATCCGAAAATGGGCAAGGCACTTCCTCCTTCATGGGAGCCTTCCCTTGACAAACACTGGCAAGCATCGAAAGACACTCTCGATTCTGCGTGACGAAGATGTCATGGAAGAGTGTGTCCGTTTTCTTCGCCGAAATCCAAATCGAACACCACGATCCTTCAAGAAATTTATCGACGACCACTTGATTCCCAAGCTTCGGTCCGATAACGAGTCATCTCGTCGCCAGACTCCAAAATCCATTACCATATCTACAACACGACGAGCGTTGCGTCTCTTTGGCTTCAAATTCAGGCGCTATCAAAAGGGTCAATACGTAGATGGGCATGAGCGAGAGGATGTTGTCAAGGATCGCACCCAGTATCTTGCTCAGATGAAAGTCTACGAAGAGCGAATGAAGTTCTTTGAAGGATCAAGCATGGAGATCGGGATAGAGCCCAGAAACCAAGATGAGAAAAGAATTGTTCTGGTTTCGCACGATGAAAGTATTTTTTACGCAAATGACGATATTGGTTGGGGATGGTTCGAAGAGTGCGACTATGGCCAGCCAAAACCCAAAGGGGCAGGCCGAACTGTCATGGTCAGTGCGTTTTTATGTGAATGTCACGGAATCCTCAAGAATGAGTCGTCCGACGCCACTGCGATCATTGATCCAGATTATCAAACTTCCTGGAAGAGCGATGACATGCTCGAGCAAGTGCAGCGGGCGATTCCAGTATTTGAGTCCCTTCATCCCGATTGTGTTGCTCTGTTCCAATTCGACAACTCCGCCAATCATCGAGCATGGGCAATTGACGCCCTTCGAGCCGAGAAGATGAATATGACGCCTGGTGGTAAGCAGCCCCCGCTACGATCGACTGTGTTTGGTCCGGACAATGCCTTCCAAAGCATGCAGTTCACCCAGGAGGTGTGACGATGAGGGAGACGGTCACCGACGGACTCACCCCTCCACACGTGCACAATTGTTGTGGTATCAGCGGGTCCCGTATTTTTACCAATCCCTCCCAAAAGGACAAGCGTGGAACCGCCTTTTATACCTGGCTGTCCGGCTGTTAGAGTCCGAAGGGGACTCAACGGCAAAAGAAGAAATGAGCTCGAAGTGAGCTCAGGGAAGGCAAGGGTAAAGTCCGAAGTGGACTCGGAGAGGGAGCGAGGGAAGCAAAGATCCGTTCAAGATAAGACTTGTCTCGAAATGAGACGTGAGGAACACTCAGAGAATAAAGTAGAAGGCACTTTATTTAGTCCTATTTTGAACGCTGAGGTTCGACTACACATCGCGGGGGTCAGGCTATTTATAGACAAGTCCGGACTTGGCAGCGAAGGGCGGCCAAGGGAGGGAAAAGTGGGCGATCGAGCAGGGCGAAGGGGGCGATGCACGAGCGAGGGCCGAGAAGGACCACCGAGACAGGCAGAGAACCAAAGCGAGGGAGGCGCAAGCAAAAGCGAAGCACCTGGCAGGAGAAACGTGCAAAGGTGAAGCAATGTGACTCAACTTCCAAGAAGCGGATTGGTCAAGTATAAGGTTGGGGCAAATGCATGCGAGATGAACAAGAGATCGGGGCGGTCAGGCATGTCATGAGTCACCGGTGGGGGGACACATGACCGGCAGCCGAATTGCAACCAATCGTAGCGAAGCGCGTGCACAAACAAACCGGCGCGTGCGAAGAAGACAAAGGAAGCGGAGCAGCGCGGGGAAACGGAAGTGCGGAAGGAGCGGAAAAGACAGGCAAAAGGCGGAAAATCGGAGGGGAACTGCAAAGCTACACACAAACAAACAGAAAGGCAAAAGAACAGCCAAGTGTGCAGTCAAAGTGGAGAATAAGCAGGAGCTATCCCTAACAATGCGCTTGCACAATCCAGTTGTTAATTGGAAGTCCCTCTCCCTTTCTTTCTCCGATCCCTCTTGCCTTGCTGATGGACACATCCTCGCGGATGTCTCTGCTTCTTCCTTGGACACTTCGTCCACTTCTGGCTCTTCGCCTCCCCCTTCGGGCACTTCGCCTCTGACTCTTCCTCCCTCCGGTCCTTTCATTACACCGGTTCCCTCCTTTGGCACTTCGCCTTCCCTTTCTTCCCGCCTTGACTCTGCTTCGCTTTCTGAAGAGCCAACGGCTTTATCTTCGCCCGACATTGAGCTCGTTAATGCGGCGAGTCTTCTCCGTCTTGCACGGGAAGACAAGCTCGACATTTTCGCTGCCCAAATGGATATCCGTCCTCCTTCGCCGGAGACGTATCCTACGGTGTCGATAAGGTCCGTGCTCACGACGAAGGTGTATGCCGAGTCTGGCACCCCTGTTGACTCTCGAGGTGTCCCACTCAAATACAATGAGTTTGGCGACGTTTTCAGCCTCAAGTCTGACCCTCCTTCTTCCTTGCCTCCTCACCGTCCGTATGACTTGTCTATTGAGTTTGTACGGACCGAGGATGGAAAGGAACCTCGTTTGCCAAAGCCGGGGAAAGTCTATCCTTTGTCCCCGGCCGAGGAATCTGCTCTTTCGGAATATCTGACCAACGCCCTCGCACGTGGTTGGATCTCCAAATCCTCTTCTCCCGTTGGTGCTCCCTGCTTCTTCGTGAAGAAGCCCAATGGTGGTCTTCGCCTTTGCGTCGACTACCGGGGCCTCAATGCCATCACGAAGAAGAACCGCTACCCTCTTCCCTTCTTCCAGGATCTTCTGGATAAACTTTCTTCTGCCCGCGTCTTCTCACACCTCGACCTTCCTGATGCTTACCACTTGGTTCGTGTCAAGAAGGGCGATGAGTGGAAGACTGCTTTTGTTTGCAAATCTGGCTCATTTGAGTACAATGTTATCCCCTTTGGTCTTTCGAATGCCCCCGCTGCTTTCCAGTTTTTTATGAACGACATCTTCTCGGACCTCCTTGGTGTCTATGTTGTCATTTATCTTGACGACATCCTGATCTTCTCAAAAGATCCCCAGGAGCATGAGGAGCATGTTAAGCTTGTTCTTTCTCGCCTTCGTCAACACTCCCTTAAGGTCAATCCGGCCAAGTGTTCTTTTGACCTTTCTGAAGTTGATTTTCTCGGCATGATCATTTCTGCCGATGGCATCAAAATGGACCCTGCCAAGGTCGAGGCCGTTTCTCTTTGGCCTGTTCCCTCTTCTGCTCGCGATATCCAAGTCTTTATTGGTTTCGCAAACTTTTATCGCCGCTTCGTCAAGGACTTTTCTGCACTTGCTCGTCCTTTGACTTCCCTTACCACCAAATCCTCCACCTTCTCTTGGTCTCCCGAGGCCCAAGAGGCTTTTGATTCTCTTAAACGTTCTTTCACTTCCGCACCTATTCTTCGCT